AGTTAAAGGAAATTCGGAAGAGGCGTAGCACGTGGAACTAGAACATTCTACCCTGTTATGGGATCTTACCCATAATAATAATAATGGACTATTCCATACTTAATAAATACTGCGAGTCAGAGGCAGTCCGAAACAGAGTCGAGTTCAGACAATTATTGCAAGATATTGGAATAGTGATACTGGTCGAGACTACATTGTTCTCCCTACTAAAAACCTGATTGTTCGTACTAACAATTTCTTCTTCTCTGTATATATTCCTGTTTGTAATATATCTGTGTTATTCCATATACGTGTTCTTCTTTACTGGTTCTACCTTGGACTATCACCTTGGTACAAGGGACCGGACCATAACAACCCCGGTGGACGAAATAAAGGGTTCGGTTCTAAATTCCAATCAATCACCTGAAGAAAGCCGGAGCGTACAACGACCGAAACGTGGTGAATATGGCAATGAAGATGAGGATAACAGTCCGAATAATGTAAATAATTGAATTCGTAAGCTGGAATCAGTATTCGATTTTTTTAAAGGTGGTTTTAATTTTTTAAACTTCAATCTGATACATCGAAAAGCAAGACATTTCAAAATAACTAAGCTCGTAGAATTTTTATCATTAATTCTCTTTCTTCTTCTATGCCGTGTCCATTCAGTGCTCCCATATTTTTCTGGATCTCCATAATTTTCTAGCTCTCCACAATATCCTGTCCTTTGTAGCTCTTAATAAATTTTACTTTTTACTATCTCCCATAAACCCTGCTCCACCATCCATTCATTCAAACTCTTTAGGTAACTTATGTAATATTTTCCTCTTTCCCTTGCCTTCAATCTGTCCTCTGAGTATCATATTTTTCAAGCCCACTTTCCTAATTATGTGCTCTGGGAGACCTAAGGCAGGTAGTGGTATGTTGTTATGGCTACATTTCATGATTTGTTTTTCTAACTCTCACAACATTACTAGCGTTAAATAGACAAAGATCTTAGTGTGTGTGTTGTAAAATTTTTGTTTTTCTCTTAAGCTGGGATTTCCAGAGATTGTTTCATTATGTTGTTGGGTTCCTTTTTTATCATTCCAAGTGCACCTACTATGACTGGTACTATTCTTGTTTACAATTTCCACTTTTTTTCTATTTCGATTTCCAGGTCTTTATGCTTTGATAATTTTTCAAATTCCTTGGTTGCTATGTTACAGTCCGCTGATCAAACCATTCTTTTCGGTTTTTGACAGTTATATCCGGACTATTGGCTTCAACAATCTTCCTGTCTGTAAAGATTGTGTAATTTCATATAATTGTAATGTCTTCTATTTCTGTAACTCGTGCTTGGTGATGTTCATACCAGTATTTATTAACATCTTGTCCAAAGTGTTTGTACATTATCTAGTGTTTCGTAAAATACACCTAATGGATGCTTTGGTACACATCATCAGTGACGTTTCTAGCCGAGGTTCATTAGGGGCTTTGGGTCTTTCAACATCATACCCCGCCCCCTGTCCACGGTGATTGTCTCGTTCTATCATGACGTTTTTATATTCATTTGACAAAAGTACAGAACATCCTGGGATTAGATATTCTACGATTTCCTGTCATTTGTCACAGAAACCGCATTTTGGATCCACACTATTATGTATGATATTTGCCTAAAAATTTCTAGTGAAAAGATGCTAGTCTTGCGCTGCAAAAATAAGGTTTTATTATTATTATTATTATTATTATTATTATTATTATTATTATTATTATTACTGTTGTTGTTGTTGTTGTTGTTGTTAATCGTTTTATTTTGTTTTTTATTGGTGTTATTTAATTGACGATTAATATATATATATATTTCTCGTATTTACTTCTACCGTTATCTGTTCTTTCCTCTTCTTCCCTTTACACAAGTGGGGAATATACATGATCAACTGGATCAAAGCTTGAATAGTGGCGATCGCATCCGTCAGCCGAAAAACCTGACCTTTTTGAAATTAAGGTTGCCTCGTTTCGACCTTTCTATAAAAGCAAGCGCCCACCGTGGCGGAAGAATTTTCGCTAATCAACCCAACAACACAGCAAGCAATCACGGGAACATTTTTCTTTGTCCACCGTGGAGGTCACGTGATAGTTGCCTGAACGAATAATCGCCAGTCACTTCTCTTTTTCGTTTCACAGATATTGGGTTAAGGGAAACTGACATTTCAGTGGATTTAGGCTACAAGAAAAAAAAAAAAAAAAAAAAAAAAAAAAAAAAAAAACATCTAAGGACTTTAAAATAAACACTGGGTTTAATGATTATATGATATGTAAAAGAATTGTACACATATTTCTAAACTTGTTTCCTCATCGAATCAATTGTTTTCCGAATCAACGAAACGACCCGACTAGTTGTGACAAAAATTACCAAAAAATCATTTTATACCGTGAAAAGGATATTCAGAATGCAAAAAAAGATCGTAAAGATTCAGAATTTTTTGAAGAAGACTGTGAATGGATTCGTAACAGACCACGATTAATAGAGCACAAAAATCGAAAGGTACATTGGAATGCTCCCAACAGATGAAGAAAAAACATGAAGCGAGACAAAAGTGGTTCTATCGACGAATGCTGAGAATATCACGGAGAGATCATATGAACAACAAGGATGCCTTAAGGAAAATAGGAACTGTAAAAGAAATCACAATAAAAAAAATGGTTGAGATTTCTGGAAGAAGGAAATAAAGCCACTAAGACACAAGGAGAAACACTATTAATGAGAGAGAAGAATAAAAGAAATCAATTAAGAAGACAGAAGATAACGATTGCCGTTGTATTTAAATTTGTAAAGATCAAATTTGACTGAGAAGCAAGAAGACAGAAGAGACTTCCTCAAGTGCGATATGCGAAAAAGAATCTATTAGGAAAGAACTTACGGTTACAACTGGATATTTCAATTGTAAAATGGCGAGACCTTGCCTCCAATTTAATACTTCGCTTAAATTCATAAAGTCTAGGTACCGTAGAGGAAAGTTCATCGGAACAATTACCATGAAAGTATTCATAGAAAAGGTACAGGGAAGACACATTACGACAGTGGGAAATTGTTTGAAGCCGAGATGCCAGGTCAAGACCAATAATATTGCAGATTCTTCAAGAATCTCTAAATATATAGTAGAAGCCCTAGACCAATATTCAAAACAAGGACGAATATGTAAGATAGATTATGTAACAAAAAAACTTTCCTCGCAGCAGACCTAGCAACTGATTCAATACAATATTTCCCCTTCCTAGCAGCAAAAAATATTAGCCGAAGAAGGCACAATGAGTCACTCTCCTGGAGATTATCATCTGCCAGTTTCGTTTTGAAGATTTTAAAATTAACAATCCCTTTCGTACCATATTATGATGATAGAGGTCCTAAAGAATTTCTCACTCACAGGAAACACTGAAGGCAAGAAAAATAAGGGAAAAACTCTGAGTGACTATGAATTTCAGTAAATAGATGGCAGAATAAGGAAAAGGAGGTATCATAAAGATTTACAATACTTGAAGTTGTGATAATTTCCAACATTATGAAAAAAAAATACATTTGAAAATTCTAAAACAAGTATGGACAACCTTTTTCGAGCAATGGGCCTCATAAGATACGCTTCATCATAACATTTTGGACAGCACTACTAAAAAGATTCATGGTAATTTTTCGTTGAAGCTGCTTCAGTCATTTCTCATGCAGAAGACTATATATGTAATAATCTGTATTAAGAATAGAGAGTTGATTTCTTATCTTTGAAAAAAAAAAGATTTTTTTTAATTAAAAAAATTGAAATCATGTTATAATATTATCACTGATGAGAATTGTTTGTTTTTAATATATTCCTTTGAAAATTGCTAAAATATATTTTTAAATAAAACAATATAAATCTTCCCTAAACACATGGCACAATGGATAAAGGCGTTAGTTAGATCCAGTGACAGGACCCAAAGAGTGTGAATTCAATATCTGGTTAAGGCAGTGGAGAACTTATAGACGTGAATTAACAGGAGATAACTGATAAATGGCATCCATTAGACATAGCACGTGGAACTAGAACAGTCTACTCCAGTGGGCGAAATAAAGGGTGCAGTTCGACATTCCAACCACCTGAAGAAGGCCGGAGCGTACAATGGCCGAAATGTTGTGATAAATATGGCGAGAAAGATGAGGACAATAGAGAATAAAATATATTATAATCGTTATCTATTTCACGTATGATCTTCCTTATGATTTAAAATGCTGAAAGCTTCAAGTAAAGATGACAAAATTCACGAAACCTTGTGCTTTATCATTATGAATGGGGTTCTGTATGAGAGAGTCTGGAAGTGAACAAGTGAGAACGAAACTAAACAATTTTTTAATAAATGTTATTTTCCTCATGAAGATAGGCGTGCTATTCAGAAAGACAAATGAACCGCATGCAACTCATTCTTCTTCATGTCTCCTCATGACGTAGCTGATCATAGCTCTCCACAATTTCCTGTCATTTTAAGCTCTTAATATATTTAGTTTTTTTGTTATTTCTCCCAAACCGTGTTCCGCCATTCATGCCTTCTCTAAAATATTCTCTTTTAAGAGCAAGAATGTTTTATATATATATATATATATATATATATATATATATATATATATATATATATATCTTCTTCTCTTTCATTCTCAGTATTCGTTTTCTTTTTTCTATCATTTTTCAGTGTTCTTATAAATTTTTCAGTTTTTTCTTATGATTTTTGACAGTGTGTTTTTTTTTCTTATGTTAACTCTTATCAGGCCAAAACACGCATAGAGCGAATGAGAACACACGCATTTCTAATAAGTTCACCTGTTTTTTAACAGCAGAAAACAACATGCGAAATAAAATAAATAATAAAAAACTGGGTTATCGCTTAACGCCTGTGTTTTGAACGTGTGGTTTCATTTCCAGACCTCAAAATAAAAAGGCGACTGTGTTAAGATAGAGGATATCGTTCCACAGTTGTTAAGCTTTTTTGCTTTTAACTCTGCGTTTAATTTGAGCCTATCTTTTTCCTTGACATTTTTTTAAGAAAAAAATGAAATAGGAGGAGAAAAAGAAGGAGGAGGAGAAAGAAGATGAAGAAGAAGCAGAAGAAGGGGTAAAGGGGAGAAGACAAAAAGAAGAAGAAGAAGGAGGAGGGGGAGGGGAAGAAGGAAAAAGTAGGATGAGGAGCGGCAAGAAGAAGAAGAAGAAAAAGGAACGTGAAGAAGAAGAAAACGAAGAAGAAAAAAGGAAGGGGACGAAGAAGATTAGGGAGAAGGACGGGGAAGAAAAAGTAGTAGAATAAGGGGGAAAGAAGAAGTAGTAGGAGAAAGTGGAAGAAGTAGAATGCGGGGAAAGCGGGGAAAGAAGAAGAAGAAGAAGAAGAAGAAGAAAAAGAAGACGAAGAAGAGGAGAAGAAGAAGATGGGGGAGGAGAAAGAAGATGAAGAAGAAGCGAGAGAAGAAAAATTATGAATAAGAAGGAGGAGAGAGAAGAAAAAAGAAACAGGATAAAGAGCAGGAAAAAGAAAAAGAACACATAGAATGATAAGGAGCGGGAAGAAAAAGGAAAGGGAAGAAGAAGAAATAGAAGAGGAGGAGGAGGAAGGAGGGAAAAAAAAGAAGTAGGAAAAGGGGAAAGAAAAAGAATAACAGGAGTAGGAAGAAGTAGTAGGGGAAGGAAGAAGAAGAAGAAGAAGATGAAGGAGGAGGAGGAGGAGGAGGGAGAAGTAGAAGTAGGAGAAGGCGTAGAAGAAGAAGAAGAAGAAGGAGGAGGAGGAGGATGGGGTAGAGGAGGAAGAAGAAGGAAGAGGAGAAGAAAGAAGATGAAGAAGAAGAAACTGAAACAGGAGTAGAAGGACGGAACAAAAAAAGGAAGAATAAGGTGAAGGATGAGGAAGTAGAAGAAGAAGCGGAAGAAAATGTGGAAGAAGAAAGGGGAAGTAAAAGAAGAAGAATTAGTTTGCAGTTGATTTTGTTGCATTCACATACGCAATTATCCTTAGGAAAGGTATGAATCTCTCTCTTCTTCCCAGTTGTGCGTAAATAGTAGGACTGATTCTATAGCCTCAGTTGGCAACCAGTCAAAAAGAAGGAAAATGAAGCCAAACCAACCTGAAGAGGGTTGGCCTCTATCAGGCTATCTTGCCCAATACACACCACTTCTACCGTGGCTGCACTACAGGCAGTGTCCCTATTACCCTATTAGTGTTATGCGATTCGAGATCGTGAAAATATAACAGACTTATTGGAATAGCGAAAGGTATCTTTCTTTCCTAAAGAAAGTATTAAGCGACAGAAGAAAAAAAATCTTTAAAACATTTTGCTAAGCGTATTGAACGACCATGGAATATATATCTGCTTATATGTCAATGAATGCAGGAACACATGATCAACAAAAATGTGTTAAGGAACATGAAATCACATTTATTTCGAATCAGAAAGAGACGGCTGAAATTTCTCGGACGAATAATAAGGAAAGCGGGCATGGAGAATTTGACACTCTCAGGGCATGCGGAAGGCAAGATATACGGAGAGAAGCAGTGAGTAAACTATGTGAAGAAGAAGAAGAAGAAGAAGAAGAAAGAGACGGTTGAAATTTCTCGGACGCATAAGGAAAGCGGGCATGGAGAATTTGACACTCTCAGGGGATGCGGAAGGCAAGATGTACGGAGAGAAGCAGTGAGTAATCTACCTGATGAGCTTATTTAAATGGATGGCGGTACAAGGTAAACAGTGGTAAAGCGGAAACCATTATTTGTAGATACATAAAGTAGGAAGTTGTGGAGAAGGGACACCACACATAAAAGTAGAAAAGTTTTAATATATGAAATGATAAAAATAAGATATGATGAATCATATATTTTTTCTTTTTCTTATTATTTTTCTGTTATGACTTTTGCATTAGCATTTGACTAATCCTTCGATGAAGTTCCATACACACTGATCACAGCTAATAGATGTTTTCTGGAAACGTTGTCAAGACATCTGGATATAGCATCCGGTATTTTTGACCATTCTTCTCTACAGGATTGTTCCAAATTGATCCGATCCAATGTCTTCCTTTGATGAAAAGCAGTTTTCAATTCATATTACAAATGATCGATTTTAGTTAGAAAAGGGGATTGAAGAGGCCACGTTCTCGTACGATAATTGAGGTTAAGCAACGTCTAGCCTGTTCAGTACGTAGACAGGTTACCGCTTGGGAATACCCGTTGCTATAAGCTTGGATGTGTGGGTGGTGCAATGTATAACGGCTCGGAATTTGAAATCGGAGAGCCGAGTTCCAATTCCTGTTGGTTTCATTATATTTACTTACGCGCAAATCCCCTTGGGAAAGGTATGAATGCACCTCTTCCCCACTATGGGTTAATTAGTAAGACTTGTATCAATAAACCATTATTATGTACCCCCGCTAAAGGCTTACAATCAAAAATATTTCCTGGCTTTAAATAAACTGTAAATAGGTTTGGTACGCCGAAGAAACAATTAATCAAATACTAATTATGTAAAAAGGATTCTCTTTTAGAATTTTGAGCATTCTCTGCAATATAAATGTATACAAACTATCGTGGCCACAAAGTGAGAGACCAGTTTATATATTGATTGTAATACAGAATTGTTCCCCGACTTTATATCCACACGATGATTTCGTATTTCGTTATCAAATTCTGATTAGGTATGAATCCATTTCTCTCCATAGCTATAGGTTAATAAGACTTGTATCCCTAAATCATTATTATCGCCCCCCACTCAAATTCTTACAATCTAAGAATATTTTCTGGCTTTAAATGATCTGCTAAAAGGGCTGATAAGCCGTAGAAAACGAATCAATCATTCAAATACTGATTAGCTACAAAGGCATGTCTTTTAGGTTTATTTACATTACCTGAAATGTAAATGTATAGAAAATATTGTGGCCACAAATTGAGAGATGTTTTTGTATATTGATTGTAATATAGAATTGAACCCTCACTTTATATAGTGATTTTTCTAAGCCCAGCTTAGATATGGCACAAGACCGAAAGTATGGGGCACCCAGTGAGGATCGAACTCACTAATCAGTCGTAAATGATCTAGCAAGACAAGCTTTCTAACCATTACACCACGTCGATGTGCCCAACCCTAACTTTACATATACATTATTTCTTGTTTGTTTGTCAAATTCTGATTAGGTCTGAAAGCACGTAATCTCTCCCTAGCTATGGGTTAATTATTAAAACTTGTATCACTAAATCATTTTATCCCTCCTACCCCTATAAAATCCTTAGATTCTATAAATATTTTCTGCAAAGGGTTGATAAGCCGTAGAAAATGAATCAATCAAAAAACATGAAGTCATTTCATTATTGGCAATTTTTTTGTTTCGTTTTGAGAAAATTTGTCCCTCTTAAAAATGTGTCATTTTTTTATGAGTCAAAGTTTGTCAGATAAAAAGAGTATTATGGTTTGCTTCTAATTTATCTTTACCTTATCAGCCTCAAAAATGAGAATGAATCATCGGATAAAAAGAAAGCAATTGATAAAATAATAATAAAAAAAATTAAATAAGAGGTTTATCCCTTGTTTCCTGTTTAGGATTAGGCTTCTGGTACATTCTAAAGTTTCTTATGCACTTACTGTCTCTGTATCCTCCTTGCGTCTTAGTGGCATTATCGCCTTACTTGGGATGAATTGATTGAAACAAAATTTATATTTTTTTTTTTATTTTTAAGTAAGAAGCCGGGAAAAGAATGGGTTTCTTTGAAGTTTCTTATCTTGCTTTTTTATGCGAGTTCTTTCTCAATTGGTAAATCGCAAATACCTGATGATTTTATTTTTGTTATTTTCTTTCAGGAAAAAAAAAAGATAATGTTCCGCATTGTTCGCAACATAAAGAGTAAGACTGAATACGGGTTTCTAGCCAAAACATTCTTCATAAAATAAAATATGCAAGAACTCTCACCTACGCAATATTTGGAAAACCCCAGCAGCAAATATCTTCGTGTGTCATGAATGATCTGCAGTATTCAAAGCTTTCGATTTTAATCATGTATAAACATAAAAAAAGGGAGAAGAAATATTGAAAGAAAAAGAAAAAGAGAAAAAAGAGGAAATAGAAGAGAAAGGCCATAAATAAAACTGATATTTTAAAACTGTTCTCGAAATAAATGCATTCTAAACGCTTGCATGTGTTTTTGCGGGAAGTGTACTTTTTCAAACATAGTTGAAATCTTCTCTCTAGAATCTAGCGTCAGTTATGTGCCATATGTAATACACGCTTAGGCGATCATGTAGCTTTCGATACATGACTAACAAGGCAAATTTTTTTCTTCCTGCAGTAGGTTGTCATTTCTTTCTGCGGTAGACCAGTTGCCATCCAAGGCTACAGAACCTGGTTTGTCCTGCTACTTACTCATAGCTGGGCGGAGAAGAAGAGGATACATACCTTTCCAAAGGAACATCGCTGCCACATATACGATGTTCTTGCTATTTACCTTGAGCTCCTTGATGAGATTCAAAGAAGAATCAGCAATATTATTGGTCGTGATCTGGCGACTCGGCTTCAGCCTCTTTCCCACCGCCGAAAGGTTTCTTTCTGTAAATACTTTCTTGCTAATTGTTCGGGTGAGCTATGGTACCTAGACGTTTTAATTTAAGTTCATTACTAATACAGCGTCGAGATCTTATCATTTTACAGTTTAGCTGACTAGATGTAACCGTAAATTCTATGCCAACAGTTTCTTTTCACGTACTTCTCGCTTGTAGAACTCCCTTCCAGCCGACTTTAATCTGCGAAAATTTAAATGCAATATCAATCGGTATCGATTAGACTTTTCTCTTTCTACTCATTATTAATGTCTCTGTGCCTAATTCTTCCATAACCTTTAACCCCTTGTGTTTTAGAAACTTCACTGCCTGGCATGGGGTGACATCGATCAAAAATATCTGGTTTTACTTCAGACTGTCGTTTTAGAGAAGAATGGGTTCATTAACAATAGCCAGCCACCAGCCTAGATGACCAACTCTGAAATGAAGGCCGTGGAGAAAGTAATGGTAAACCACTCTCCCATATTTCTCGGGAATATTCATGACAATACACAACTTATAGATATTCACAATAGAGGAAACGGTAAAGAGCTATAAACGGACATACATGGCATTTGACAAGGTGAAAATAATTGGTAATGATTAAGCAGTAATCAGTGTGCAATTCACTGTCCATATTCTGGAAGGGATCTTTGATATATCGGTTAATTAAATTTCTTACTGGAACCGATGTCTTTGACCATTTCCTGCAAATGCCAGTTGCAGATTTGATATTGGAGCATAATCAGTTATGTAATCAATAGAGTTGTTGATAAGAAACTCCTGAGCATTCAAAATAGATGAGATGTTTGGAAAGATGGATGTACAGGGTATCTCAAAAGTATCTATACACATTTAATAACTTCCTAAAAATTACACAAGTCCAGAAGTTCGGTGTTTTCATCACTGGTGGTACTAGCCTTCAGGCCTTCAGCTTCGTTGTTTGTCAAGAACAGATCCTGTTTCTAGAAACTTGCTAGAGTAAATTCTGCTACAAGTTGAAAAAATGTGACGGCAATACTGCTTCTCAAGCTCGCGTTTAACTGCAGTCGGGGACTGATAAACCTCTTGCCAGGCAACAATTTTGCAACGCTACTCCAACATCAATCGAATGATTCACGAACAAAAATTGCAATGCCTAAGCTCTCTAAATGATACCTGAAACGGAAAAAGTGTATAGTGCCTTTTGGGACACCCTGTATAATGGCCATGATGTAACTTTGAAAACCGATCAAATTTCTTATTTCAAAGATTTGCTTATTCTTTGAGGGTAAGCTTAAAATAATATTTTAACTTTGAAGTATAGCAAAATAACAGATTATTTTCAATGTGGGTGGGGCTCTGAGTAGGGTAATGGTTAACAAGTTAGAAAGAGCTTATTAAATCTAGAAAACTACTTTAGAGACATTTCTTGGGAAAACATATTAGAGATAGGTTTATATATCAACTAAGAGTGACAGAGGGAAACAATGCATCACATACCTGGAGAGATTGAGTAAATGGATGACGGAGCAAGGTTTAGGAGAAATAATATATATATATATATATATATATATATATATCAAGCGCTAAAAAGAAAAGACATTTTGGAGAGCCACGACTGACAACGTCCTGAAAGGACACAGCATCATGTAAGAAGATATAATAAGGTTACTGAAAAGTACTTTGTGCGTGTGTGTATAATATATATATATATATATATATATATATATATATATATATATATATATATATATATATATATATATATAATTATTTATTTAAAAATTATATATATATATATATATATATATATATATATATATATATATATATAATTATTTATTTGAAAATTATAACATAAATATGTTATAAAATATTGTCAAGAAAAATGATTTTATGACATATTTATGTTATAATTTTAAATAAATAATTATATCTTCTCTAATCTGTACTGATCACTCTGTTAATTGTTGGTTATTGAATTTATTCCATATACACCAATCATATATATATATATATATATATATATATATATATATATATATATATATATATATATATATATGTGTGTGTGTGTGTGTGTGTGTGTGTGTGTGTGTGTAAAATTTCACAGCTATAACGACATGTCTAAAACACTAAAATAACATCAACAATCTTTATTGAATGCATTCTTAGTTAACTACCACAACCGGTGTTGACATAAAAACAACATACAAACAAAAATACTACTACTACTACTACTACAACAACTACTACTACTACTACTACTACTACTATACTTACTACATTATCATCTGAATACCGTATAGACAAACTAGAATTATGAATCACTTAAATGCACACGAACGCTACTTGACTAGTCAAATGTACGTGAAGTCTGTTAACAATTGAAAATCAAACAGCACAAAAATACCAGAAATTATTTTTTCAATATTTTATTCTCTGACGAAGGTTTAATAAAAGAGAAACGTTAGATTTATACATGTTTCGTATTTTTCTTTATCATATATATATATATATATATATATATATATATATATATATATATTGCCATTCAAATAGTACTGTACAGAAATCCATAGTCGACACATGGATTAAATTTACTACGCAGACTAAAGGATTGCCAGACTGGTTAGCCTCGAGCTCGGCGACCTCTAAATATATATTTACGAGATTTAAATCACTAAGCAGAATGCAAGGCTACAATTATAGAGTACTCGTGGGGATCGAACTCACTACGCTAAGTCACAGTTTTTCATAAACACCATTAGAAATATATATTCATGATTTGGGAATTATTTCATTATTAATGACAAACACGCACTGGAAATGTTTGGTGAAGAACATGAAATGTAGAGAAATTCTTTCTTTGGCGTCGATAATTGATTCGCTTCCGAAGTCCAGACGTTTACCTTCTGAATAAAAATGTCGATTCGCTGTCAACGAAGCCTTGGGGTTTGTACGTTTACATTTTTTTTTCCCTCCTTTCAAAGACAAAGAGTTGGATTTACAATGAAACGAAATAAAAATTGGTTCTTCATTTTCTTTTTTTTTTTTTTTTTTTTGGTGGGTGGGGGTGTTTTCGGTTGATTCTTACTTGCATTTTATTGTTCTTTCTTTTTTATTTAATTTCTTTTTCACTTCCATGAAACATTTTCTTTGTTACGTTTTTTGTGTTCTTCATATTACGAATTTATTCTCTCTCGAAACTAAAAAAAGATTTCTGAGTTTCTTTTTCTTTCTTTCTTTCTTTCTTTCTTTCTCTTTTTATATTCTTTCTTTCTATTCTTTCTTTCTTTCTCTATCATTCTTTTTTTCATTATTTATTTATTTTCCCGTCTGTATTGATACATTTTACTAATTTTTTCTTTCTTTGTTTCTTTACTTATTCTTTCTTTCTTTCTTTCTTTCTTTATTTATTCTCTATGGTTTACATTTTACTGATTCGTTCTTTCTTTACTTTCTATTTATTACATTTTTGTTATTTTTTCTTCCTTTTTCTCTTTCTTTCGTCCTTCCTTTTTCTTTCTTTTTCCTTTCTTTCTTACTTAGTTTTTCTTTGTTTCCACGTAAATATTTACAAATTTTACTAAATATTTTTTATTGTTTGTTTCCTAGTTCTTTCTAATTTTTACATTTTACTGATTTTTCTTTCTTTCATTCTTTCTTTCTTTCTTTCTTTATTTACTTTGTAATTTTTACAATTATTCGTTCTTCCTTTTTTCTCTTTCTTTCATTCTTTCTTTCTTTCTTTCTTTCTTTCTTTTTCTTAGTTATTTTCTTTATTTCCCCTACTGTCTGTACTTATACATTTTACTAGTTCTTTCTTTCTTTCTTTCTTTCTTTCTTTCTTTCATTCTTTCTTTCTTTCTTTCTTTGCTTTTACTTATTTCCTTCCTTCCTTCCTTCCTTCCTTATTTTTACATTTTACAGATTCTTTCTTTCTTTCTTTCTTTCTTTCTTTCTTTCTTATTTTTACATTTTACTGATTCTTTCTTTCTTTCTTTCTTTTATTTTTTACTTTCTTATTTTACATTTTTTTGATTCTTTCTTTCTTTCTTTCTTATTTTTACATTTTACTGATTCTTTCTTTCTTTCTTTCTTTCTTTCTTATTTTTACATTTTACTGATTCTTTCTTTCTTTCTTATTTTTACATTTTACTGATTCTTTCTTTCTTTCTTTCTTTCTTATTTTTACATTTTACTGATTCTTTCTTTCTTTCTTTCTTTCTTTCTTATTTTTACATTTTACTGATTCTTTCTTTCTTTCTTTCTTTCTTATTTTTACATTTTACTGATTCTTTCTTTCTTTCTTTCTTATTTTTACATTTTACTGATTCTTTCTTTCTTATTTTTACATTTTACTTTTTTCTTTCTTTCTTTCTTCTTATTTTACATTTTACTGATTTCTTTCTTTTTATTTTTACATTTACTTTTTCTTTCTTTCTTTTTACATTTTACTGATTCTTTCTTTCTTTCTTTCTTATTTTTACATTTTACTGATTTTCTTTCTTTCTTTCTTTCTTATTTTTTTTTACATTTTTTGCTTTTTCTTTTTTCTTA